CTGTTGATGTGCATGGGGTTATAGACTTTGGGCTGAAAAGGGAGGCAAAATAGATTGCTGCACATATTCAGTGCTTGATATCTTCTTGTAAACTTTACAGCCAGTCCTGCCCAAAGGATGCTGCAAAGAAATGTTGGAATTGTGACATGGCTGAACTGCCTTTAACAACCAAGGCCATCACTGCAGTCCAGAATAGAAGCCCCATCCAGTGCAACTACTTTTCCTTCTCACGAATACGTTTAGTGTTGCATAGATTGAGAGGAATTTGCCCTACGGTGAACATGAAACTTAGTAAGGTAGAGATGTCATACCTAGCTGACACAGGAGCAGAATGCCATCCATTACTCACCAATTTTCCTGTGAGCCTTTTGCTGAGGAGTGTGAGCTGATTTGTTGTTTCTTCCCTCATCTGGGTCTTGCTGTGCAGGAGTCAAGCATCCTCCATCATGACTACATGGAGCTTTCACTATCTGTCCTTAATCCCTTAAAGCTTTCGATGACATTAATTTCTAGACCCTTCTTTTGTACCTGGACAATATTCTCGTCTTCAGCTCAGCATTTGAGGGGGCGCTTGAAAGACTAGACATAATATAGTCCTCTTATTGTAATTTAACTTGAATGCAAGCCAGAGAAGTGCCAACTTTTCTTGGGCACTTTGTTACCCAGGAAGGCATTATTCCTGACGGAGAAAATCCAAGTGGTAGAGAGTGGCCTCCATATAAGACAGGGAAGTAACTGTATGGGGTCTTTGGCTTAGCTGGTCACTATAGGAGGCTTGTGCAAGGCTGTGCATAGTTATTGCCCCACTCCATGATTTACTGAGGAAATCATAGAATGTTGAAGGAGTGTTTGAGAAAGGATGTACAAGGCTTGGCGCAGCATTGAGCATCACAAGGAATTGGACTCCTTTTGTATCTTCAAGCAGAAGCTTGCCTCAATACCTTTCCTTGGCTACCCAGATTTACATTTCACTTTTGCACTGGAAATTAATACCAGTTTCCTTGGCCTCGGAATGGTGCTGCCACAGGTAGTATCACTAATGCCAGTTGAAGTCTCAAGCTGAACAGGAGGAATATGGAGAATTACTAAAACTGCTAGCTTTGAGGTGGGCTGTTCTCCAGAAGTTCAGAGATAATTTGGTCAGTGCAGAGTTTGAAGTTTCACAGACAACAATGCACACAGCTACTTTCACGCTGGAACAAGAGGGACCCAATGGACCACTGAAATTGGTCAGTTTTGATTTCAGTTTCAGGACAGATCAGATAAAAATAATGCAAATACTGATGTTGATCACAGGAAGGAATCCATCTCTGCCCAGCTGGAAGGGACTGTGACTGATGTTTTGTGCATTCCCCAAATTAAACGCAGTATTCTGACTCTGATTTGCTCACATTTGGACTAAGGTTCAGCAGAATGTCACCGATTCACTCAAGAGTGCTTAGACTGGCGTGATTTCACCTTTGCCATCTATCATGAAAGAGGACCTTGAAGAGCTTCAATTTGTTGGTGTGGGCATTAATAGACTACAATATTACAGGAAGGCCCAAGATCCAACAGCCCAGCACCAGTAAGGGTTTCCATCAAGCATGGGAACCTGCTGGAAGAGGATGGAGCTATCCATTGGATTGTTCCTGACATGGAGGGAAAGATAAAGCAGCTCATTTTTCTGACAGCATCAAGTGCCAAGTGATGGTAGCAGTCTGTGATCAAGCAACAGCAATAAAAACTGCCCTGACCACAGTGCAGTATTAGTAATGAGACTGAGTGTGTGGTCATACTCGTGGATATTTTCACCAAAGTCTCACAGGTCATTTCGACCCTTGACCAAAAGGCCTTAGCTGTGGCCAGAATGTTAGTATGTGATTGGTTTGTCCATTTTACTGTTCCATGTCGAATTCAAAGTGATCAGGGATACAACTTTGAGAGCAAGATTCTATAGGAGCTCTATAAGGTATATGGTATTGCTAACAGCCACACCACCTCATATCATATAGAGTGTAATTGACAGTGAAAACTGATTCGTCTGTACTCCAGATGACCGTCTGCCAACCTTGTCCCCTGAGAGTAAGCAAAGTGGCCTGAGTATCTTTTAGAGCTGGGTTATGCTTATAGTAACGATTCTCACTCACCTACAAACTATTTCTTATTTGGATGAGATACAATTCACGCCTCCCCTGCCTCCCAAACCATCTCCTTGGGCTTATTACATTTTCTGATGGCAATAATCATGACAATAAGTATCAAATGAGAATAAGCCAGGCATTGAAGATGGCATACAAGAGGATTGAGGAAAATGCGGAGAGGAAAATCATTTAACAATTGCAAGCCTGACACAGCTGATCTTCCAATCAACACAAAGATTATTCTCCAAAATTGGAATATCAGCAGTTGGAATGATACAGAATGTCTAACTCAGAACTCCAAAGATGACCACACTTATGTTGTTGCATCAATAGCTGGAGGGCAACCTTAGAAAACAGTTCACAAAGGAAAATTCCTTGAGGCTAAAGGTGTGGTGAATGATGTGGGGGTAAACAGGTCTTTGATAGTCATGTGGAACCTGATGTGTGGTGACTTGAGAGAGGTGGAATCGGATAGTGACAAGGAATTCTTGGTTGATACAAATTTTAGATATCACCTTACCCCTTACCATTTGTCTAGATCAGAATGCAAGAAGAGAATGCTGCCATTAATGTGCACCCACACATTCTAGGCAACATAATGCAATTGAACCTGCTAATCACACAAATGCTTAACCAACGGTCACTGTATTCAGTGTGTGATTGCTAGGACAATGAATCTCAAAGCAGCGAAGTGTGTAATGGAACGTCAGGAGCAGGTGGCAATCATGAGGGAAAGTACAGTACAGGGCAGCTAGAGCAGTTGAACAGACCCTCTCAGAAGGAAAGAATGTCTTTAAGGAAAAACGGTGTCATGGGGAGAAGAATCGGACCAACAAAGTATTTCCTCAACCAGATGTAAACTACAGGTATAATTCCATATAAGTACTGATTTCCATGTTTAACCTTAATTTCCTTTCATGTTATAATGACCTGACTTTAGTTTCCTTTCTTGTTTATAATGACCTGCTGCCAGTGGAATTAAGAATCCCTGCTTCATGATCTTTGGGCTAACCATGTGTTTTCAGATCTCTTGTTAGATTAACACATTGCAACTGCATAACCACTGCGGCTGCCACTGTTAAATAACCTTCGCAGTATGTCACCTGTCATCGTTGCATCTTGAACTATGAGGGTGTGTTCTTGGACTAAAATTGAGTCATGTGAGTCATTATCATGCTATCCCATGCAAATTGGTCAGGAAACGTGAAATCGATGCAAATTTGGTGCTAAGCTTAAAAGAAGCCACTACTGGATGTATTTCACTTTCTCCTGGGTTCCATGTCTAAGATCAGGCTCCGCCCTCCCCTATCTAGTTCCCAGCAGTTGACAGATTTAAAGTCCTCCCACCCAATTTTTATTATTATTCATCTTTGCCTTAAATAAATATAAGATTGAAAGTGCCGATCCCAAACAGAATTAGTGTTTTTCTTCTTCAGACTTGAGCAGGGTAATGATTACACTGTTTACATTTTGGTCAGTGGACAGAGAAACATTAATGATTATTAACCAGATTTATTCCAATTAATCAGTGAAGAAAAAAAAAAGCCCTACTTTTTATTAGAGTAATGCAAATGCTATGTTAATTACAGCAACCATAGAAGCAAACATTAAAGGGCCATTCTTGCTATGTGACATGTTAATTATTCACCTTTACTTTTGATTGCACAAACTCTTGCCATTGCCTTTCTTTTAAAAATCCATTGTTTCTAAGCATTTTATTTTATCATGTGACTTCATGCTTCTCTCTAATAATTATATTGAAAATGAATTTATTGAAAAATTTGGATTGATCTAAAAACTTCCACTAAGTTAGATTAATGCACTTAAACCCATTTTAAATATTATAGTTACAGTGTACGATGTTTCCTTGACTTATGAGTGCATGAGAAGAAAAGAAATCCTGAAAATATTGGAATCTATAACACTTAATGCCAACTATGATCAGTAAAGAAGAGTAACATGCAGATGAAATACAGTATATTTTCAGTAAAATTTTGAGTTTGCTATTCTGCAGAATATGTTTGCAGCCAGTTTTTGGCCTTTCTGTGAGATTTGTACAACTAGCAGATGTTTGTTTTCTAGAATACTAGCCTTGCTTGTGATTTTTAAGGTTTACAGTTGATGAACTGTCCGTCATCACTTTATGGAAAATGTTTGCCATCAAAACAGTGAAACAAATGTTGCTTTGTAATCGCTTTAAAAAAATTCTACATTCACAAAAAGTGATACGACATCTTTCACAGCCTATGCTTGTATTGAGGAAGAAGTGTAGAAAGCTTAAAAAAATTGTTTTAAAGTTCCCTACACTTGTGTGGAGGAGAAAAATGGGATTAAACTCAGTAACGTTTGATGATGTGTCTTTCCTTGTGTGACAGCAATAGCCACAGGAAATCAGATCATCTGTATGCATAATTAGGAAATGGGGTGATTGCAGGGACTGCAGACTTGTCCTTTCGAGTTGCTGGGATAATGGTTTTTGAAAGACTAACTAGCTGACTTCTGTTTAATGCGTTGGTCTTAATTCTTAATTGCTAAAAACAAACATGCGAATTAACACTTTTATTGGCATTCAATACTGTTGTTTGCACAGTACTCCTTAATGCTTTTCAGAGGATTAGGACAATTAATACTGAAATCAATTTATTTTAACTTACCAGTTAATTCTGATAACATTATGCATTTTGAAAATATAAATGTTTGTTTTCATCTGCAATGACTGTTGGTTGTTAGAGTATCCTTCAATAGGTCCCCAGCTGACCATGTGTGTCATGAGTTAGAATTGCTGGCAACCTTGAGAGGGGGTGGGCAAAAGGCTAGATCACAGCTGCATGCTCTTGGTGCTGGTGTGCTTCACTGTACTCATCAACTCAGTATTCTCAAGGAACTACCCCAGTAGAAGGAAGAAAAAGGGAAATGTTAATTTGGAAAATACAGCTGGAAGAGATAAAATGTCATGAAGGAAATGGTATTGCTTTCAGTCATTTTTTTGTGTCCAGTAAATTTTGACTTCCTCATTGTGAAAGAGTTATAGCTGTGTTCACTCTGTATTTGTGTGACAATCTAATCCCCTGCCCAGAAGTTTGTAGTATTGTGGCCTGTTGTAAAATGCTAAAACTTTTTTTCTGTGCTGTTTTGCTATAAATGGTGAAGAAAATTGCTGCAAGCTTTTTAATGAAAAAGCTTGGTGCAGTTTTCATGTATTAATATTTTTAGAAATGTGCCAAATGCTTATGATAAATGTCTTATTTACGTAATTATGTTCCTTAGTTCTGATAAAAATTACACTTTTGAATTGTAGCTTAGCTTTACTGGTGCCCCGTTAGCACTTAACTTGAGTTGGCAGCTGTAAAGAGTATCACATTGGAAACCAAAAGAATTGTAATTAATTGCATTTCTAATGCCATTGCAAAAGTTCAGATTTTTGCAATTTGTTGTCCTTGCTTATTTGAGTAGGGATACTATTTAGTTAGAACTGTGGGAGAGTAAGCCATGGCATTAATTTCTTAACAAGTTTGTGATACTCTGAATCTGTATGCATGATGATGTGTTTCTGGTATTTGTTGAAACTATGTTCACTGCAAACTGATAGAAATAGCTATGGAATGAGATTTAGTACTTTCTTACATCCTGTGGTTTTCATACTTCCACACGTTTACAGTGCAATGACTAGTCAACATTGCTATGTTTTCCAACATAATTCCAAATAGGCTTATTTTGTTATTCAGCTGGAGAGTGAAAGGAGTTTGACCCTGTCAGGATATCCAACTAAATTCCTATTTGTTCATAAATGAACACACACATTGCTATCAGGGTAGCAGAATGTGGACTGAGTTTGGAACCTCTCTTCAACAGTGATGTGGAGGTGCCAGTGTTGGACTGGGGTGGACCCTTCAACAATGTCTTTTTTTATTCTGGAAGCTATCCAGGTGACGTGAAGAGTAAAAATAGCATGGGGGAGTTAACATTTTAATTGTGTCCATTTTATATTGCATTTGATTTGTTGTCAAGCCTTTATGAAAACTTTTCAAATTATCATATTTACAGCTCAAAGGGTTTATGTTCTCTATAATAAGTTTGGGGATAAGATTTTAAATGACCTATAATTAAATATTTTGGTCAGGGAAGAGTTTTATTCACCTATATTTAAATGGTTGAAAGAGTGGGGAAGCATTTATGCTGTTGCTTAGTGTTTGGTGGGGCAAAAAAATTTCCACAACTTCAATTTATTTTGAGGAAGAGAAAATATATCACTAACTTTTTGCCACAATGTACATTTGTTGTGTGATTTCTATCACGTTAATAATTAAAGAAGTGCAACTTTTTTTTAATCTCAACCCTAACATACTGCTTTTTTGGGATTTTCACAGCTCCTTGCCAGAATTACAGCAAATAGAAACCCCGAGCAAAATTTCATCCCTCGATGCTTTTGGTGGTGGTGGTAGGGGAAATCCAGTTTGATGCTCTCAAACTGAATACAAGTACTGCTTCTTGTGTGCATTATGCAAAACTGTACCTAGATGGTTCAAGAGCAGGTGTAATGTTGGCAGAAATAATCTCTGCAATATTTTTCACTGTAAGATCTAAAGAGACTTGTTAAAATATTTTTCACTTGTAGTTTCATTGCTGAAAAGAAAGTAGTAGTAGTAGTGTCAAATTTCCTGCTGTTTCCATGCCCAAATGTCATGCTATACCTGCATTAAGAATACCTTGGTGTTGGCTGCAGTACCAAAGGGTTGCATTATCAGAGGTGCTGTTCTTTGGGTGAGATGCTAATCCATGGCTCCACCTAAATTTTTCAGGTGGATGTATTATAAATCTGATAGCAATATTTGAAGTTCTCTGGAGCTGGTTATCATTTCTCCCTGTTGCTCACTTGCTGTTTGTGAGATTTTGCTGTACACAAACTGGTACAGTATTGCTGCAGCAAAAACAGAAATTGCTGGAAAAGCTCAGCAGGTCTGGCAGTATTTGTGCAGAGAATTCAGAGTTAACCGTTCGGGTCAAATGACCCTTCCTCAGAACTTATACAGTACAATATTGCTGTTGTGTTTGCGCATGACAGCAGTGCTTCATCGCAGGAGTAGTTTATTAGCTGTAATTTGCTAAATTAGCATATCCTGAATTTGTGACCAAATCAATGTTAATGCATACATTTCCTTCCTTTCTCTAATCATTATTTACATATAATCAAAAGCACTACTTTACGATTGCATTATTGATGTTTTTCTGGGAAATACTAGCTCAGATTGAGCTGCTACATCTGAGGATCTGTGACACAAATACTAGTTACATTTTCTACCTGATAAGTTCCCATATCCTAGAACCTGATGAGAAATTATTTTAATTTCTGAACAGGCATTACTGTTGAAGTTGTCAAATGTTATGACATTTGAGTTTCACTGAATTTGATAGTTGAAGCACGTGAAAATCCCTAGTTGATCTGCTCTGAACCCTTTTCAATATTACTCCTTAGTTTTCCCATTGTCTCTTGCATTTCACCTGCACTCCCCTTACTACTCATCTGTTTTCCATCTCCTCCGCACTAGACCAGTTTTAATTAAAGATACATAGATTCTAGTTCTCATTTGCCAAATCATGTTTAGATTATGCAACTTTTGCAGGCCCTTTTTTAAAAGTCTCTGTCTTGCCACATCAGGTTGATTGCTGCCTTAGTATAAGAGCAAACGCTCTTGCCTGATCTCTAGATTTCACATCTTGTGACCATGTTGGAACTAGGCTGTAATAATCTCTAAATTTGAATCTGGTCCTACCAAAGTCAAACAAAGCAGTGGGACTTTGATAGGAATGACCACCATAAATCCATGAAAAGACGGTGTTCTGCTAGATATACCTAGGACAGGCAATTTGGTAGAGAGAAGTCAAGTGTGTTGCAATTTTCTAATCAGCCTGTTCAGAGATATTACTACTCACCTCTAGAGCAGGTGGGACTTGAACCCAAGTCTCCTGCCTCAGAGGTAGGGATGTTACTACTGTGCCACAAGAATCCTTAATCAAGTAGGTTAAATATTTTCTACTCAGCCTGTTCAGAGATGTTATTGCACATCTGGAGCAGATGAGACTTGTACCCAGGCCTCCTGGCTTAGAGGTAGGGACACTGCCACTGCCAAATGGGCCCCTGTCAAGTCAGATGTTGTTGTTTCATCAACAGCACCTGATGCATGTTCAGTCTTGTTGGTATAACCCTTGCACTCAGCAAGCTTATTCAGTGATGAAAATACCATACCATTATTGGTCGTGTACATTGATAACTTTACCTTAAGTTGATCTATGCCTTTGTTTCACATAGTGCCTTCTCCAAGTGGTGTTAGCTGATGACTGAGGTAGAATGGTAGTTATTAACCAGGAGATTTCTCTGCTTATGATTGGCCTGATTCTTACACATCGTGGATTGATCCAGAGTCAGTGTGAAATGTTCTAGGATCATTCTTCCCTGACTGTGTATATCACAATACCCCTAAAGTATCTGTCTCACTGTTGGGTTCAGACATACCTTATGATAATAGTGGAGAAGTCTGTAATCTTGACTGATGAGTATAACTCTACAAGTGTGACTATGTCGGGTGGTTGTTCGACTACTCCAAGACAATTCTGTCAATTTTGGGACAAATCCCCAAAAATTGGTCACATTTAGTGGTACTAGCTTCACATTTTCAGATTGTAAAACTGAATTTTGTTTTGGGCTGTATGCATTACTTATTGTAGCAGCTTTCTACTCCTGATTTATAGCACTTCATATTGGGATTTAATTTTTTCATAATTTTAAACTGGTTTCCATTAGCTAGCTGTAGTTAAATACATGACTACGAGTACAGGAATTTCTGAAGATATATAATGATCCATCAGTGTACTGGGGAGCAAGTCAACTAGGTGACTTCAGACATAAACGTACTAATTCTGTGGGAATTAGTGTTGCTGAAGAATGCTCATGGGTTATGTGATGTAAATTTAGAAAAAAACTGCAAATTATTAACTGTGTGAGATGTGTCACGAAAGTCATTTAACTGGGAACTATGGAGCTACTTTTCCTACCAGTCTCTTGCTCACTCAAATGTATTGATTGATTTCTTATTTCCTGGCTCCTGCATTTCTGCAATTCACAGCATTGGCAGTGTAGTTGAGTGGACTTTTGAGTGTATTTGTACTCTAATTGAGAGGTCAGTGATAAATTTGGATAATATGGTAAATACCATCATGTTACTTAAAATGCTGGACTGACCTTTTGACATTCTGTCAATTATTTATGTCGAAAAGCAATACATATTAAGTGACTACTGATATATGTTTCCATTCAAAGACTGATTTATTGCTAACTTAGACTCTCATTGACTTAATATGATTTTCCCTTGATTAAGCAAATTATGTTAATTCATTATCTTCTATTTTAATAATATTTCCTTCCAACTAGTACTGACTTCAAACTCAAGTATGTCTGTGATTGAATGAGGAACCACTGGTCATTGATCTGTTTCATGGCTTTTTTTGTGGTTAACCAAAAATTGAAACAAATGGATACCTAGCTCATTTCATGGATCAATACAGCTTGAATCCAGTATTCTTCAGAAATGGACTTAAACTGTGAATGGTTTAATTAAGGAATAAAAATCATTTGGAAGTTTAATTGACCTTTTGTTTTAAAGCTGATGACTTATGCAGAACTAGGCGACAGCATGTTTTCATAATTGGTTATCAATATTTGGAAATAAAATACTGTGTATTGAAAACTAAAATAAAAAAAATCACATCCTTACGTGTGTAAAGAATATCTGCATTGATAAATCAAATTGTCAATGGTGGACCAACTATTAATGTGATAGAATGAATTCAGAGTGTAAATCACCATGTTGTATTTTGACAGTCTTATTTCTAGCCAAAAGGAAATATACACAAAATTGTGCACCATTTCTTTTAGCTTGTTACTTTCTGTTATGTCCTGTCTCTCCCCCA